GATTAACTCCATAAAATCTTGATGTGCTACATGATATTAGTTAATAGAATTGAAAGTAAATTAAAATAATTAAATTAAACATACATTGTGTGAATATATGTACGTAGTGCAGTTAAATATGTGCCCTAAGGAAAAATTATGTAAATAAATTTAATAATTTTCTTTTATAATTGATGTTCTCTCTTCTATAACTCTAACCACCATGATACGTGCCATTATCATCCACCATAAAATCTTGGTGCCATTTGGAATACATCCTAATTCTTTTTTGGGGGTAAGTTTCAAAAACATCAAAAATCAATTACAATTACCGCCCCCAACTGCCGATCACAACCGCTGCCACTGCTTATCGCCAGCCACCACCGTTAATAGCTATCATCGTCCATCACCGCCTACACATTAAATTGTGACCACCTACCACAACCCTCTTTGCTAAAACAAACAAAAAATAATAATAATCTCATATATTTCTTTTACACTCATCTATACAACTCCAAAATATTCATTTTACACTATAAATTCTTTTTTTTTTGAAGCTTTAGATGAGCTCATATATATTTATAACAACTTTATGCGGAATTAGGGTTAGTAAATAATGTTAATTATCTAATTAAAATTAGTAATTTGTTAATTAAATTTTATTTGTAATATTTTAATTGATAGCCTCTTAAAAGAAATAAGCAGGAAGGGACGAGGAATTCAAACTTAAGTTTTAATCAATTTCAATGAATAACTAAAATTTGTTTATATAAAATTGATACGATAATTCTAATAAGTATTAGACGGTAAAAAAATCCGTTAACCAAAACAGGATTCGAACCTAGTAAAAATGGTAAAAAGCGTAGTGCCGTCGACAGCAGGATTCGAACCTGCGCAGGCAGAGCCCAACAGATTTCGAGTCTGTCTCCTTAACCACTCGGACATATCGACAAGTAGATGCTAGGGAAAGTGTATTAATTATACATAAATCATACTTTCAAGTAAATATGTATCTAAATATATAAGATTTGTGAGGCTATCCTATAGATTTAACAATAAATATCATGACAGAGTGATAAAGGAACAAAAAATTCTATATTAAATAAATGTTAAAAAGTTTGATTTTTACTCTAGTTTATACATCATGTAAAAATTATCTTGGTCGGGCACGAATCTTTAGGCAAAAATCAAGTTGGAAACTTCAAAAATTAAATTCGAGAGCATCTGAACTCCGATTTCAATAAACTTACATTCAAACTGAGTGTCTCGGAAATACGAACCCAACGACGCCAAATTCAACTCAATTCGAGCCCAAATGGGTCCGAATCAAGGACCCGAAGCGCTATTGAAAAGTTCATACCACAATTTGAGTTACCAAACGGCCTCCGATTTTAACGAGCTTATGGTCGAATCTAGTGGTTCGACGAGACGAATCCAACGAGCCCAAGATCGCCGAATTCCGACATCATTAAGACCTTCAAATGTCTATCAAACAGTGCATGATCAAGGGATTTAATATCAGCCGTCCATCAAACCACTCCTCATTTACCCCTGATCTCTCACCTATTTACGGGCCATGCCACTCCAAAAAATCTATAAATAGCCCTCTCATTTTTCTTGAGAGGGGACCCCAAGCAAGAAGCAAGAAGAAGAGAAGAAGAAGTGAAGAAGAAGAGGAGGAGGAGGAGAATCAGCTCCTCCTCGACCACCATCGGTGTTCCGCCCGAACTCCAAATGACGCCAGAATTCTGCCCGACTTCCACGGGACGTCAGAATTATGCCCAAGTTCCACGGGATGCTGAAATTCTTCCCAATTAACGACAGAGTTCCCTCCTGATGCTGAAACTCCACCCAAGTGATGCTGGAGTTCTCCTCGGCCACCATCAGACGTCGGACTTCTACCCGACGTCGGACCTTCACTCTTTGCCAAGTTCCTACCCGATGCCGGACTTCTATCGGTTATCGGACTTTCATCGGACATCTATCCGAAGGTGGATTTCTTTTCATTGTTGAATTTCTACCTGACGCCGTCCTTCTGACCTTCATCGTCAGACAACAGTCCTTCCGACCTCCGTCGCCCGCTGACTACGCTCCTTCTGACATACGTCGCCCGCCGACTACAGGTCTTTTTCACCTCCGTCGCCCGCCAACTACGATTCTTCTGATCTCTGTCATCAGACTATGGTCCTCCTGCCAAACAAACACATCAGTAGTGACTCTTTGTGTTCCCATCATATAATGTACTCTATAAAATGTACATCAATCTAAGGCCTTCTACCATAGAATGGCCTCTTTTGTAATCAACTACAAGACTAGTGGATTCATTCAAATTGGGCTAGGCCCCATGGTTTTTCCCCATGTTGAGGGGTTTTCCACATAAAAATATTAGTGTCTCATGTGAATGCTATACACTCTCTCTTATCTGATTGCGTGCCGGATTTTCGTACAACGCTAAAACGTTAAACTATATATTTCTCTACCGCCGCGAATATTTTTGGACGCAACAATAGTATTTTTTTCAAAGTAAATAATATATTAAATCAAATTTATGAATTCTAATTTCAATCAAATATTATATGTTTTTTTTACTACTAGTAATTTAATTTACATCAAATATTATATGTAATTTAACTAATAGTAATGTAAACCAAAGTTAAAATAGCTCATTCCTTGCAATTGAGCATTAATATAGCAAATTGAATGCAATGTAACTAATATGTGCAAGACAAAACATGTGTGGCATATTATGATATGTCTCTATTTGTAGGTTTTGTATTCAGAGATTTTAGTTTTGAGATTCATTTTGTTATATTCTATCAATTAATAAAGTAAATTTAAACGAGAATTATTAGGGATGCAATTTTATTTGGGATTAGAGCAACTAAATCATAAATGCATCGGGTTGTAGTCAATAACACATCAATTTTAACATTAAACATATAGAAGAAAATGTTGTTTGAGACTGTGTGGGCTGCAAGTTATTGAGTGAATCCCGCAAAGCCTTTGTTATAAAAATCGGGTTTCGGGTCAAACCGAAACTGATCGGACACAACTTGCTTGATGAGAACTCGACCCATTTTTTAAAATGGTCCAAATTCTAAGAGTTGAACCCGACCGCCTCCGGTTTGGGTCAACCCAACACGACCCGACGAGTGTGAGAGGAAGAGCGGCTAGGGCTTATGTGGTGGACTTATCTCCCTCGACTTCAGTCGCTGGCTCACTATCGTTGCATGTTTGTTCATTCGTCCGTCGGTCACAACTTCAGTCTTTGCTTGCAGCTTTGGTCACTGCCTCCGCCTGCGTGCATTCGAATCGTACGCGATCAAGCGACGTCGGCTTACAACTAACAGCTGTTGGAAGCAACTCGATGAAATGACGCAGATTGGATGTGAGACAACAACGTGGATTAGCGGTGAGCTGACGCCCGACACGACGTGGTGAGGAGACAACGACGAGACTTGACGCGGATTAGCGGTGAGACGATGTGACACGATGAGAAATTAGACGGTTCCTGGGTCAACCCAGGTTGTTTCCCGGTCAGCTCGAACTCGACCGGGTTTTACAAGCAAGTTGAAATCCCTAACTCAAACCCGTCCCGGTTCAGGTTCGGGTCAAACCCAAACCTAAAATTTTTGGTTTTGGTTCGAGTCTGATTTTCGACCAGGAAAGAGACAACAAGCACCCATTATGACACGACAAAATGAGGAATACAAAATTATTTTAGTTGCTAATGGGTAAGAAAGTTATTAAAGAAATCATACACAATATTTCTCACAAAAAATTGATATTGTCATGAAAGCTTTACCTATGGCCTCCAAGAACTTGAACATGGGATGGTGGATATCCATATACATCATAAAGAGCAAACAATAGTTGGAAATATTGCACTGACATGACAAGAAAATGTTTAAGATATTCTTACACAAATTGCTCCTTTGGGCTCTAGCGTGAGGATTCTTATTGGATGTTTAAATGTACCTCTGCAGTCTATGCATGCTATGAGAAAGATTAACATCAATTACATGGCAAAAAAAAAAAAAAAAAAAAAAAAGTTCTTTATTTTATAGGAACTATCTTACCAAGAGCAAACACACGTCTAAAGTCCTTTAATAAAGCCTAAAAACTTCTCATCAAAATCAAAACCAGGATTCTAGAGAAGCAATCAATATCAAAAAACACACAAAGCCATTTTATGTACTTGCTATGAATAAAAGTATAAATAATAATCAACAGTTAAGAACCACTTGCTATCTTCTATTTCGTAGATAAGAGAACAGTTAGTGAAAAAGAGAACGGTTCTTCGATTGTTGTATTTTCTGATCTATGCCATGTATAAAAAATGGAGGCAGAATTGTACAGTTTCCAATTCCCTCTTCAAGCAAAGCTCAAGCTGACTTCCAATTCAATAAGAGGTGAAGAAGACAAATGAAGAGGAGAAGGCAAAGAAATCTTATTCAAGCTAAGCACGAGAGACTTTCGATTTGAAAAGAGGAGAAGAAGAAGGCTAAAAAGCCCTTTTAGCCATAGGAGGTGAAGACGATCCAAAGAAATAAATGAACTGAGCAGAGTTTGAAGAGGCACAAAATTAGACGATACATATTAATTATAATTAATAAAACACTTGTGAAGATTATTTTAAGGGTAGAATGCTTATAGATGTAAAATTTCTTCCTACAAGCGGAAATCTGAATTTAATAACCTTCAAAGTGATGAAGAATTATATATTGTAATTAATGCACATAAAATAAAATGTAAAATTAAATATATTAATTAGTTTAATTAAAATGAAAGGTTAAGATTTTATTTAAAAAATTAAAATGAATGATGAAAATTTTATTTAGTTGGAAACTCGAATTACTTTATAATAATTGTATTGATATATAATAAGATTTAAAGTTCAATTATCATTTGAAGGAATTATTATATATGCTTAATTATTTAATTATGTACTAATTTTCTTATAGCATCATTACTGGGCTTTACAAATTATTCCCAACTATTTATTATTATTATTTTTGGAAAACAGCCCAAATCTATTGCCGAACGGACCTGTTATAATGCTGCTACAGAGACTGCCGGCTCACTGCCCACGATAGCACCACCGGCGCTGTGTTTCCCCCAAAACCTCTGCTTCTACCATCTCTTCTATTCCATCATCCATAAATCGAATACCCGCCTGCTCGTCACTGTGCAGTTCTGCCCCGATTCGAAGCGGTCCAGCCTCCGCCTTCATGGCGGCTAGGTTTTTCCTAGGTTTTCTGATACTGCTTCTTCACTCGATCATCTCCTGCGGCGTATATGAGGATCAAGTAGGGCTTGCAGATTGGTGCGCAGATCTCCCATCCTTTCTCCTAAATATCCTATAATATATTTATGCCTAAAATAACATGAATGATATGGCTGTATCAATTAGGGCTTGCATATAGTCTGTTTTAAATGTGGTATGTAATTGCTCGACCTTCCCGTTTCTCTTTCAACCTGGCCTTTGACTTTCCCTCTTTTTTTGAGTTAGCGCATGCATGCCTATTGTGGTTGTAAACTGCTTTTTTGCATAATTGATTTGCTGTTTCATTTCACGTTTTGGGAGATTTGCGTATGCAATATAGGGCAGTTAAATTTAATCTTTACGAGTAGATTTTTGTTGTTTCTAGTTAAGCTTAGCTGTATGTCTTCCGTTTTAACAGATAATTATTGGATCAGTAATGTGGCCATCTACGTGCATGGTTGTGCCTTATGTAAATGTGATGCCCAATCCATGGAGCTGAGCGTTTCAGTCAAACAGATAATTATTGATCAATAATGTTGAAATATAAATGTGATGCTCCATCAAAGGAGCTTGCAGTCACATAATTTGGAGATTAACTTTGGATTGGATAGAGTTCATTCATCCAATTTGAAAATGATATATTTTCACGTTTTTCTACCTGGATTAGAAAATCCTATTGACTAAGCAAGTTCACCCACATCACACTTCGGTGAGGATTGATCAATGATCCTAATATGAGATCTTGGGGTTAACCACATCACTTCAATAAACTGGTGTGCATGCCAAATATGGATTGGGTTAATTCTGGTTCAACCTCTTAGATCACAGAATCTTATGCATATCAAAATGAGATTTGATATTTTTTTTGTTGTCATCCAAAATTTCCCAACCCTTGTGTTGTTAATATTCACTTGACTACTTGAGTTATCCATTTTTGAACCAAACTGTCAATATTTATAGTTGCCTGGTAAAATGATGTAGGTGACGGTGAGAAGTAACTAAACTAGCGGAGGCTGATGATATTTGTGCATTGCATTATGAAATTGTTGATTACAAAGTTATAATGATTGTTAGGTTGTGGACTGATGGACTCTAATGCATAGACAGAGGCACAATATGACACTAACATATATACATATTTCTGAAATAAAATCTACATCATTTACAATTATAACATATATTTTTGTAAAAACAATAAAATGGAAACAACCTAAATGCTGCTATAGCCTCGACCTCTCAGTTTTCACACTGTCATTGGACTTGTAAAGTAAACATGACAAACTCTAGTATTTATAATTAGAGTAGCATAATTTGTTTGTAATAAGTATCCAACACATGATGTTTCGAGTTGTGCAAAGTGTGTGTGAGCCTGTGAGGTTTCCAATACATGTTAATTTTTATAGAAAAAAGTGGCATACCAAATGGCTTGTCTACTTGTCATCCTTGAGCATCCAGAAGTCCAAGTTTTTGACATATCATCTAACACGACACGACCATCTACAAATGTTTGTGCTTCAAGGAAATGAAGAATTAGATTTATGTAAAAACACTTTGGCAAGAGTTGACATTTTCCTTCAATTGGAAACTTAGAGCAGCATTAATTCCATTTTATTCTCCAATGAAGAAGCACCACAAAACCTTGACTGCCCCCGCCCCTTAAAACTAAATAAATATTGTCAGAGGCATAATCAACCTCTCTTTTGAGGGTGGGAAAATATGATTGTGAAATGCATAATCTTATGTATGAAATAGAATTTTTTTTTCTTAATATTTAGGCAGTTGCATTTATTGAAGGCGGGCAAAACATTTAAAATATTTATTTTTATGCAAGCAAACTAGAAAGAAAAGCAAAGTTGGAGAACACAAGGACAATGAAAACCAAACTCGATTCAATTTAACTTGCAAACAACCAAACAAACATCCAGATAAACGAAAAGTCAAATCAAACGAAACAAAATTATAACATAAAAACACTATCCTCAGAACAAACGGCAAGCAATTTTCTCACATGCAACGAGAAGTAGAAAATATATGATAAAGTGCTTAGGCTTGCAAACCGAGAGTTTAACACAGACAAAAAGGTCCAACGTCCAACCAAACTCCTCCGGCAAATGTCTCCTAAAAATCAACCAACAAACAACTTCCAAAAGCTCAGGCCAACAGGCAGCCATCCTGATGTAGGCAACAACCTTCTTTGGGAATCAGCACACAACAACCTTTTCCATGACAAAAACTTCTCACATATATAGCAAAAAAGGGGAGCCAAATAGCCAACATCAACCTCCAACCAAACCAATTAGGTAAGGGGAAGAAGAAGGGCCAAAAGACACCACGAACAACCCCCAAAATTTGCACAAGAAACAGGAAGGAAAGCCACGGGAAACACAGCCAGGGAGGGACCCGAGAAGCCAACACAGAAAACATGAAGGAGAGGCCACGGGAAAGCAGCCAGGGGGAGAAACCAAAGAGCCCACACAAGCACCCAACAAGTTTCACGGGAACAACACAAAGAAGGAACCAAAGAGACACAAGAATGAGAAGAAACAAGCTCCACTCAACATACCTTTATAAACTTATGAGCTTGGAAGTGCAATTATACCACCAAATAATGAGCTAACCATCAGCTCAATTATTAATGAGCTAGCACCAAGTAGATCTCAACATTTCAGCTCACAACCAGAGAATATAAAGCCCAACCCGAGAGCAATCTAAGGCCCAAACCGAAACAACAAGCAACCCAAGCACAAAAAGACCCAAATGCTAACAAACCCAAGTCTTGTCATGCCCAAACACATCATACCATGATCATTGGATGTTCTCCATCATTGGATAGCTTAAAAAAAAACATAAAACACAATTAATATTGTTCAAATTACATCAAAATAAAATAAACCAAAATATAAATGCATCAATTCCCCCTGGTGGGAGAATCTCATCTCCTGATGAGGAAGCTTCCACAATCTTCTTATAAAGATCCGGATGACGAATTTTCTTCTCATTAGCATCCATCCAAGTACAGTCTATCAAATGACGATTTTTCCACTTAGCCAAAAACCTCTTGTGCTCGTCATGTATAGTTTTAATAATTTTGACATCAATAACATCTTCAACCTGTTCATCATTATTTAAAACTGACGTGGAGAGTGGCAAAGTTTCAATTTCCACATGATCTTCAGAATTTACTTCATGCAAAGAAATGTCAGAACATTAAACATAGGAGAAGTACCAACAGTAATAGGAAGATCCAAGAGATATGCATTTGAGGCCAATTTTCGAAGAACACGAAAAGGCCTAAATATCTTCCTGCTTAACTTTTCAAAAGTATCAACATGAAATCGTTGGCGACGAAAGTAAGCCATAACCAAATCTCCCTCTTGAAATAAACTTCTCTCCGATGTTTGTCAGCAGATTTGTATTTAATATTTGTATTTAATAATAACCATTTGGAGTTTTTCAAGGACTTATTGTTGGACAGTTTTGATATGGTTAAAAGTTTCAGAAGCTTCATCACTAACTTTATTAGACATAGGCAAACAATTTCTATCTAAAATGTGAGGTATAGGCTGACCATAAATGATTTCAAATGAAGTTTTACCAGTGGAGCGATTAACAAAATTATTGTATGCAAATTCAGCTTGCTGTAATATCAAATCCCACTGGGATGATTTCTCACCTGCTAGGCATCTCAATAAATTTCCCGAACTTCGATTGACAACTTCCGTTTGCCAATCAGTTTGTGGATGATATGCACTACTAAATTGAAGAGTAGTTCCTATTTTTTCCTAAAGTGTTCTCCAAAAATGACTAAAAAATCTAGTATCTCTATCAGAAGCAAAAGTGCGAGGAATACCATGAAAACGAACAATTTCTTTAAAAAATAAATCAGCAATATATGAAGCATCAAAAGTTTTCTTGCAAGGAATAAAATATGCCATTTTGCTAAAGCGATCCACAACCACTGATGAGGACTTCAGAAGATCAACGACTACGATCTAGAGCTTATTATATTTTATTTTATTTTTATGTCTATGTACTAGTTTATCTTATATTACTGTTTTTCCCATTTTTACCCTTAGGAGTGGTCATGTGGTGTTTTAGCCAGAAGTGCGTTTTAGTCTTTGCTAATTTTCTTTTCATGAGGCATATTTATAGGCGTCTCTTGTATTGTAGGATGATGATTTGATAATGAAATTTTATGTGTTTTTCTTCTTCTTCTTCTTCTTGTGAGTGCACTAGAGAGAAGGGAGAGAGAGCTCAAGGTGAGCAAGCGCAATACCCACCAGTTGTTGGAAGAGTCCGCGACTCGTGGTTTTAATTTATCTTCGTCTTCTCCTCCGTTTCCTCCACCCCACCTGCCGACTTCTCCTAGCTTCCACCGCCGGAACAACTCCACCACCTTAAGCCCACCCGCCACCATAGCTTCATCCAACCCAACACCTAGCTGCCCCCTTCCCCTTTGCCGCCGGCCTCCCCTCTTGCCCCATTCCATTATGATGATTCCAATTGTCATAATTCCCCTCCTAAATTAACTCCAAGAGGAAAGGAAAGAAATTAATTTTATTGGAAATTTGAAGTTTGAAATTCAAATTTCAAATACTTTCCTTATTTGCAAATCCTAATTAGGAAAGTGCATAAAGTCAATCCTATTTGAAATTCAAATTAGATTGGATTTCTTAATGTCTTTTCTAATTCCCATGAGTTATTTTAGAAACCCTTAAATTCCTCCCCACAATCCTCCTCTCCCACTTAATGACCCCCCTCCTTTTTTAGGCTTCCTCCTTGTGTTATCCTCTTTGGGCCTCACCCTCTTTGAATTTGAAATCAAAATTTCAAATTTAATCCCCTCCAAATCCCTCATGGATTTTGAATTTCAAAATTCAAATCCCCAATTAATTACTTTCCTAAAATATTTTTCTATTAATATGAAAACTTCTTGATTTGAATTCAAACTTATTTGAATTTCAAATTAATCCCATATTAATGAATCCTATTTTTGGGAACCCATTCAATCTCTAAAATATGAAATTAATTCAGATTTAATCATATAATTAAATTGATTGCATGGGGACAACATACATCGAACCAAGACGCTTTCCCCTCCTTTCCCTATGGCCGGCCTTCCCTCTCCCTACCTTTCTCCACAAACTAATTAACTCACATTAATTCCCTCCCTTAAACCTTCCAAACAATCCGTAATTCCCTCTCAACCCCAGCAGCCGGCCCTCACAGTTTCTCCCTCTCGGTTTCTTCTATTCTTTGGTATTACTGAGTGGTGTCCTAGAATTTCAGAGAGGACAACCTGCTGTCCTGCACCACTTGAAGGCCACTACCAGCTGTCCAACAGCCCTAGTCTCCCCACAACTGCTGCCCAGGGTTCTATCCACCTCGAAGGTTGCTGTCCTGCACTTTTCAGCAATGTAGTTTGATGTCCAGGTTGCTGGAACGGCCCCATTTGCTGTCCAGAATTTCTGGATATTGACAGATTGCTGTCCCAGGAATTCTAGTAAGAATAACTGCTGTTAAACCCTCAGGGAATCCCCTACCTGCTGTCCCAAAGTCCGAACTCCGATAAACACGGATGGTTGCTAAGCCTCGACGACGGTGAGCTAATCCTCTAAATCATTTACCTTCCTAGTCGTCTTCGGTTGTGGTTGTAATTTGATTCACTAGGACCGTGTTAATTCTCTCCGCTAAAGTCTAGTATATTAGAGAGTTGAGTGAGGGATATCTCTTAGTGACTAATCTCATTATTAGTTTAGGGATTATCGTTGAAAATCAACCACGAACGCAATGTTAGATTAATTGATTATTTTACTACCTTAACCCCTATGCATGTGATTTAGCCTAAGTTGGTTTTATCGCCTTATTATTTTATCTTAGCGTTTAAATCGACATAATTTTTATTTAATATTTTTCTTGAAATATTAAGCGTGCAAATTTCTTTAAACAACTTATCTTCACACGTTTGTACTACGTCAAACACAAAAATAGAATCAAACTGCAGTAACAAGCAACCCCAAAACAAAATCCATTGAGATAACCTTCCAAGGTTTATTAGGAATAGAAAGAGGAGTATACAAACCAACATTTTGAGAAGTTCCCTTAAAAGCCTGACATATTTTACATTGTTTTACCAACTTAATAATATGCTTTCTCATACGATGCCAGAAATATTTCTCTTCCACCAAAGCAACAGTTTTTCAGTTTTTTCCTTGCCCAAAGTGTCCACCCAAACCTCCACTATGAAGTTCATGCACAAGTTGCTCTCTTAAAGAATTATTTGTTATGCAAAGTCTAGAGTCCTTAAATAAAAATCCTTGGTGAATGACAAATTGAACAGAATGATCAGTTCCAGAAGAAAGATAAGAGACCAAAATACTTTTAAAATCAAATTAATTTGCATAAGTATCTTTCAAAATATCAATAGAAGTGATAGTTGGGTAAACAATTACCAACAAATGAGATCTCTTGCTTAAAGCATCAGCTACTTGGTTTAGCACACCAGTTTTATGTGAAAAGTATACTCTTGCAAAAAAAAACCCATTTGGCATGCCGCTTGTTCATATTTTTTTTGAGAGCCAAAAAATCGCAAAGCCTCGTGATCAGTATTTAAAACAAATTCCCTTTGGATCAAATAACATCTCAAAAAATTCAAAGTTTGAACAATAGCATAAAATTCCAAGTCATCAGTAGAATATTTGGATTGAGCATCATTTAACTTTTTACTAAAATAAGCAATAGGTTTTCCCTCTTGACTAAGCACAACACCATTACCAACATGAGAAGCATCACAATCAACTTCAAAAATGTTTTCAAAATTTGGTAAGTTAAGGATGGGAGCTTGACTCATTTTTTTCTTTATGATTTCAAATATTTGTTCAGCTTGAGGTGTCCACCTAAATATCTCTTTTTTCAAACAATCAGTAATAGGAGCAATCAAAGAACTGAAATTTTAATGAACCTTCTATAGAAAGAAGCTAAGCCATGAAATTCTCTCACCTCACTTATGTTTTTAGGAGTAGGCCAGTTTTGAATGGCCTCTATTTTCACAGGATCAACTTTAATACCATTGACAAACACAATGTAACCCAATAATATTAAGCTCGAAGTCATGAAGGAACATTTTTTAAGATTGATGTACAACTTTTGTTCCCTTAGAGTTTGCAACACTTGTCTCACATGATTAAAGTGCTCAGAACGGTGAATACTATAAATCAAAATATCATCAAAATAAACCACAACAAACTTTCTAATAAAAGATCTCAAAACATGATTCATAGTTCTCATAAAAGTGCTTGGAGTATTAGAAAGTCCAGAAGGCATCACAAGCCATTCATACAAAGCTTTGTTTTAAATGCAGTTTTCACTCATCCCCAGGTCTTATTCTAATTTGGTGATACTCGCTTCTCAAATCAATTTTGTAAAAGATTTTAGCACCGCTTAACATATACGGCATGTTATCCAGTCTAGGAATAGGAATTCTATATTTAATGGTGATTTTATTTATTGCTCTACTATCCACACACATTTTCCACGTTCCATCTTTTTTAGGAGTTAATAAAGCAGACACAACACAGGGACTTAAGCTTTCTTTAATCAAACACTTTTTTAACAAATCAGTCACTTGCTTAAAAAGTTCAGCATGTTCAGTTGAACTCATCATGTAATGAGGAAGGTTAGGCAAAGCGGCTCCATATATTAATTCAATGTGATGCTGAATATCTCTCATCAGTGGCAAACCTATAGGCAATTCCTCAGGTGATATATCAGAAAACTCATTAATTAAAGGCTGAATTTCTTTAGGAATTTGAAGAGTTGAATCAGTTTTTTTTCCCAAAACCAAGTAAGCTACCTCAGAATGTTTCAAATCATTTGTATTCAAAAGCAGTTCAGGAGTGTTTATTTTGGCAACCTTATTATTTTTGGCAGACGAATCAGGCACATGTTTTTGAGGATAGAGAGTGAACTCATTATTATTTTGAATCAAAGTATAAGTGTTATTTTTCCCATTTTGAATGATTTTGTGATCAAATTGCCATGAACGACCAAACAAAATATGACAGACTTCAAGAGGAACGATATCGCAAAAAACTTGATCCTTAAAAGAACCCCAAATTGTTAAGTTAACAGAACATTGCTTTGTTATAGGTACTTCACATCCTTCTTTGAACCAAGAGATTTTATAAGGTTTGACAAGTGGTTTGGATTTTAACTTTAGCTTATCAACCATTAGTTGTGACACAAAATTTCCTGAACATCCGCTATCGATCATAAGAGTGCAGATTTTTCCTTCAACCGTGCAAGTTGTTTTGAAAATGTTTCTCCTAAGTCACATATCCCCATTTTCAATTTTATTTGTTAAAACTTGTCAGATTACTAAAAGTTGCTCACCTTCATCTCCCTCTACATCAACTTTCTCTAATTCAATGCCATTTTTAGGTTCAGATTCATTTTCTTCTTCTTCCTCTATCTCTTCATCTTTTTCAATGAAATTGTTTCTTGGAGGATTATTTTTTCTACAAGCTGCAGAAAGATGATCATAAAGCCCACATTTGTAGCATGATCCAATTAATCTTGGTTGTTCAGTAGGTTTAGATCCCATGATTCTTTTTCCCTTATCCACATTTTGAGTTTCAAAAGACTTAACTTCCATACCCGATGTTTCCACAGAAGTTTGATATTAATTTTTAACCCCGCCAGTTGGTCGTCGTTTATATGTTTCCGTTATTTTGTTGTGACCCCTTTCCCTTTGATGTTGCTTTTCAAGTTTTAATGCCATACGATAAATATCGTCAATTTTTATTACATGATGCAAATCCAGTTGATCTTGGATTGACCACTTAAGACCGTTGATATATACCTTGAGACAATTTTTTCTTCAAATTCATCTAAGTCATTTCTTGATTGAAGTTTGTAAAACATTTCAGTGTATTTTTCAACAGATTGATTTCTATGTCGCAAATTATTAAATTCTTGAAAGAGTGCTCGTGCGTGATCAGATGGTAAGAATTTCTCCCTCATTTTTTCTTTCATTCTTTCCCAGTTTTGTATTTTCTCTTTCCATCGTCTTTGCCTATTGTTTTGTAAAATTTTTCATCACGTAAGAGCATGACCAGTAAGTTTTAAACTTGCAAATTTTACATTCCTGTTTTCTGGAATTTCTTTCCAATCAAAGAATTGATCCATTTTTTCAATTCACTTGAGAAATATATCAGGCTGTAATTTCCCCTCAAAGTTGTGAACATCTATTTTAATCCCAAAATCCAATTTTGTTGTCGCCTATTTTGGTTCCTAGGGACTTCTTCGCTTTCAGATGTTTGAACATTATGTTGGTTGACATTTAGATTAGCAAGAGTGTTAGTCATTTCATTCATTTGATTTTGCAAATATGCTAACTGTTGCATCATATTTTGCCAATCTCTCGGATTATTATCCATCTTAGATTTCAAAAGAAAAGACTCACCAACCAAGGATATTCTAACCTGGCTCTGATATCAAACTTGATGCAAGCAAACTAAAAAAAAAGCCAAGTTGGAGAACACAAGGACAATGAAAACCAAACTCGATTCAATTTAACTTGCAAACAACCAAACAAACATCTAGATAAACGAAAAGTCAAATCAAACGAAACAAAATTATAATATAAAAATACTATCCTCAGAACAACCGACAAGCGGTTTCCTCACATGCAACAAAAAGTAGGAAATATATGATAAAGTTTTTAGGCTTGCAAACCGAGGGCCCACCACAACAAAAAAAGTCCAACATCCAACCAAACTCCTCCGGCAAATGTCTCCAAAAAATCAGCCAACAAATAACTTCCAAAAGCTTAAGAAGAAGGATACAAGTGGAGTGGAAATTGCGTAGAGAAAAAGAGGTTAGAAGCCAAGATGAAATAGAGAGGAGGAAGAGGTGGAACAAGTTCTCAGCTTTTCCAAGAGAAGAAACCCTCAGGTTTTTAACAACTTCTTTCAAGTTAATCAACAACCTTTCCATGACAAAATCCTCACATATATATAGCCAAAAGGGGAGCCAAACAACCAACATCAACCTCCAACCAAACCAATCAGGTAAGGGGAAGAAGAAGGGCCAAAAGACACCACAAACAACCCCCAAAATCTGCACAGGAAACATGAAGGAAAGCCACGGGAAACACAGCCAGAGGGACCCGAAAAGCCAACACAGAAAACAGAAAGGTGAGGCCACGGGAAAGCAGCCAGGGGGAGAAACTGAAGAGCCCATACAAGCACCCAGCAGGTTTCACGGAACAACACAAAGAAGGAACCGAAGAGACACAAGAATGGGAAGAAACAAGCTCCACTCCACATACCTTTATGAATTTATGAACTAGGAAGTGCAATTATACCACCAAAATAATGAGCTAAACATCAGCTCAAGTATTAATGAGCTAGCACCAAGTAGATCTCAACATTTCATCTCACAACCAGGGAATCCAAAGCCCAACCCAAGAGAAATCCAAGGCCCAAATTGAGAAACAACAAGCAGCCCAAGGACAAAAGGAGCCAAATGCTAGCAAACCCAAGCCTTGCCATGCCCAAGCACATCCTACCATGATCATTGGATTTTCTCCATCATTGGATAGCTTAAAAAAAAATATAAAACACAACTAATATTATTCAAGTTACATCAAAATAAAATAAACCAAAATATAAATGCATCAATTTTCTAAGAAAAAAAATTCAAGTGGGATAATTGCTCGCCCTGAGCTGTTCCTGATTCCATCTCTGAATACTATTTGAATCCTCATCCAGTGGAAATCTCTGAAGGGATCTTAATAGATATGCATGAAATTTCCACCATTGTATATTGGTTAAGCAGATTGACCTCTGGTTAGGAATTTTTATTTTATTTGAATTATTTAAAGTTTGCATATATTTGTTCGAGTGTATGGTCAAAGGGTTCATAAAAGATATCAAGCTAGTTTCTTAAGCTATTTCCTTGAAAAGTGTTATATTGCAAATCTATAATATTAGTGTTATTGTATAATTTATTTGGTGGGTTTAGATGCTTGATTGTTTGCATATGAGCTGTGATTCATTGACCATATTGGTATCTTGAGTAGTTTGCGGTTTTTATTTGCACTGTAGGCACCAAAGATACATTGGAAAAACAAAGCATGCTGTTTTCCACAGTCATAAGACAGGTAGAAAGCGTGTAGTGGTTTCTACAGAAGAGAATGTAATTGCATCTCTTGATCTCCGTACAGGGGATATATGTAAGAACCGTTATCCTTGTACAAGCTCTACTAAATCTTACATTCTTTTATTTATGTGCATGTAGAGAAAACTTTGTTGTGCCCACAATTAAGGGTGCATATTTAACGTCTTCCGCTTTAATGACACGTTTTTTGGTGATTTCACATTTATCTAAAACTGTCTTTCATTTGTTTATGCAGTTTGGCGTCATGTTCTTGGAGAAAATGACCCTGTTAATCAAGTTGATATTTCTCTTGGGAAATGTAATCATCTGCATCCTTTATTTCTTCTTTTTTAGTTGCTTATGTCTTTTATGCTAATGGGTGGATTCTATGCTGGTACATCTCAAACTTATTCTTGCCATTCAGACATTATTTTATAGTAATAACCATTTCACATTTTTGATTTTTTGATTTTAGTGCAATTCATCACCTGTTATATTTTCCCTGAAGCTTAAGGGTATGAAATTTCTGTCGCTCTATATAACATATTGAGGAGTATGCTGAATATTCTAATATCTGCAGTTGAACCATGAAACTCTACATCTTAGTCTGCATTTGGCAGAGCTATAGTTTTTGAAGAAGCTGCTGTAAAAAATGCTGTTAAAAGTACTTTTAAGTGAAGTTCAACGTTGTCTGGTAAAGATTGTAATAATATTACTGTCACCTTTATTACGATACTGTGAGCTTATTTGGTGAATGCGCTGAACATTCCATGTAGATTAGTTGATGCATCTAAACTTTATTAGTGATAAAACCAGCTAAACTGAGAAAGCATGTGTGCCAGATAGCTAGTAATAGACGCAATGATGGACAATGGTGTATTGGAGGATCGGATGAGGGACATATTTACCCAGTCAAATGGAAGATGCTTTCAAAAACTTGAGCTTACTTGGGGCCAAGTTTTTTCCTAGTTTTCAGTTAGTGCATTTTCTTGGTTGGAAAAACTACAAATTTGGAAAAATTTGCTGTCATTAACTGAAAGATGAAAAATGCTGTTGAATAAAGTGCTCTGCACAACTCATAGCAACACCTTATGCAGTCTTAGTTTTTAGCTATTTTTAATTCTCTATTCAATTGATTAAAACCGTGCATGTACATGAAATTACATTTATATTCTGAGGTTGTGATCGACTTGTAGCAAATATTGATTTGATTTAAGATTTAAGTTTTATGACGCCAAGTAGTAATGCCCATGTACCTCTCTGTACACATTTTGTTTCCACAATTATCATCCAAATGAATAAATTAAACCAATATTGAATGCAATTTTTATATTATCAATGTTGTTGAACATTTTTACTTCCCATCTATGACCCTCTCCACTTGTATTGAATTAAAATGGGTTGTGTTTGATTTTGTTGTGCATAAAGTAAATAAGTAATGGAGCTTAAGAGCTTTTAAGGGATTAAAGGGGAACTATGGGATTAGAGATGCATGTGTTAAAAAAAACAAAAAATGTTATATTAGAAAATATCAAATCAAAGCTTAAAAAAGGATAATTTCTTATAAGAGCAAGTAAAATATTAATCTGATAGGTTAAAGAAAAGTGATATTTGAAATAGTTGTTGGAAGTATATGGTTTAGGCCTAGATGAGATGCCTGATAGTTGATCGATGAAGTATAATTAACACATCTTTTCAATGAATGGTTCAGTATATAATTAATCTAATTGGTTTAAAAAAGTTATCTTTGAAGTACATGCAAGAAGTATGGATGTAAGCCTAGATGAGATATCTACAGAGATTCGAAGAGTAACGAGAGATTTAAAGTGGAATGAGAGAGATGGGAGTAGTAAAATTTATAAATCTTTCCAAGATTTATAGGAGGTAAAATGTTTTAGAAGATTATTTTGCTACCAACCTCTTTGAATGAATCCACAATCATTGTATGTTTGCTCTATGGGGATTCAACTTTTTAGTTTTATAATAATATTGTGAGAGAGGACAATGGAATAGTGGCGGAAAAATCATACTGGTATCGGAAATTGATTTCTCTTTATATTGTGAGATCTTCTATGGATTCTAGTTTTATTAACTGTGGTTTTTGGAAAAGTATGGAGCAATGAAAAAATTTCATTTGATTCATTCATTTTGAAAATGCTTATGTTTGACCCCTTGCACCCATTTCATTTAATAAATTTCCAAGGGTAATATTTGTTGGCATTAAGGAGAAGTGTTTTTTGACAATATTTCAAACTTCTTGAACATAGGAATAATGTAGCATTGAACATAGGAATAATGTAGCATTGACCCACATTAAAAGAGATTGAGTTATGAGTGTTACTTCATTATAAGAGTACATTAAGTTCATATCTTTTTGTGTCACTCAGGATGATGCTTACAAAAAAATAATTTGGATGAGATACAATAAAGATTTATAATTAGTAAGACATTTTTTAAGGTGGAAACTACAACAATGGTGATAGTGTTTAGAAGATAAGAGGCTTATGATCATGAGAGGAATGATTAGGTATATGATATGCAAATTTAATGAATTTGAAATGGATAATTATCAATCAGTATTATCAAGAGGTCATATCTCTTAGGTTGTGATTTAAGTACTGTAGATGCTTATAAAAAATAATATTAAATTTGAAATGGATAATTATCAATCAGTATTATCAAGAGGTCATATCTCTTAGGTTGTGATTTAAGTACTGTAGATGCTTATAAAAAATAAAGATGTTTGTGGATATGCCTAGAGTTGATTTTGAGAGGTTAATATTTAGTAGTGCATTAAGGCTACTTTGCAATGTGAGAATATTGTGAAATCTTAATGTAACTTCTGTAGAGTATAATATAATTGACAATGCTGCTGATATTCTAGTGGTGGGCAACAAAACAACCATTGCTAACCAAATTGAGTCAGATTAGATTTTTAAATGTTTAAAATGAATGTGTCATCGAAATAAGAAGGGTAAATTCATAGATGATCATATTAAGAAACAATGGAAATAATACTTTTTGAATTTAAGATGGTGAAAATGTATATCTTCCATAGTAGATCTACCCGCCATGAATCTAAATTGATTTTTAGAAATATTAGTATCACGTCGTAACTTATGCTCAATTGCTCTATCCCATAGTTTTAATGTATAACACATTAACTTAATTCTTCTATAATTTTCACGCTTTTTTGCATCACCTTTATTCTTAAAAATAGGAACCAACACACTCCTTCACTCATCTGACATCTTTTTAGTATGAACCCTACTTAAACAATATATAAAAATAATCCCCACCATAAAGAATTGTTGGTCTCACCACCATCTTATAGAATATTCCCTTAAGTTTGAGGGTTTACTTTTCTACACACAACAAGCTAGATGCATTCGTCCACTTCAACCACCCAACTTGAATTCCATTAATAATATCCCCATCTATTTTTCTATCACTCTGAACAATAGACTTGAGACATCTAAAACATGTACTCTTTTTAATGATTTGATTACCCAATGTTACAATCTCCCAACTAGATCTATTAGTACTAAAATTATACTCAACGTGTTCTGTTTTAGATCTACTCACACGAAAACCTTTAAATTCTATGGTTGACTTCCATAATTCAAGTTTTTCTTCAACACCCTCTCTATTATTAACAAGATCTTGCAAATTTCTAGTAAGAATATCTATTTCTAAAGCAACAAGATACGGGCTTAAAATTGTTCTTGGATGTAATCCAATTGAAATGGGAAAATACTTGGTTAAAACACTTTGTGTTTGAACACAACAACTCCTGCATACATATCCTTAATGACTTGAATATATACATTATTAACTCCTTTCTGTTCTAAAACTCTCCAAAACACTTCCCTTTGAACTTTATCATATGCTTTTTCTAAATCAATAAATATCTTATGTAGATACTCCTTTTTTCTCTATACTTCTTCATCAAACCTCTCATTAAATGTATAGCTTCCATAGTGGATCTACCGGGCATGAATCCAAATTGATTTTGGGAAATATTAGTATCATGTCATAACCTATTCTTAATTACTATGTCCCATAGTTTTAATGAATAACATATTAACTTAATTCCTTTATAATTTGCACTCTTTTGCATCACCTTTATTTTAAAAAATAGGAACCAACACTCTCCTCAACTCATCTGACATCTTTTTAGTCCGAACCCTACTTAAACAATATATAAAAATAATCCCCCCATAAAGAAATTAGCACAAAGAACTCTATTAAATAAGTTATCAATACAATTTTCATTCTCCTGGGTTGAGAGAGACTCGTTCTCAATGTCATAATTTTTTTTTTCTTGGCAAGTTGAAATAAATGCTGGGTTAATGGTTGTAAATATGTTTGGATCCCATGAAAAACCAATCTTGTAAGCATTTTCTTTTATTTGGTTTATGCTTTTCACAGCCTTTTGGCTAGTTCTTGCAAAAATGCCTGTCATTGGAATGGAGTTTTTTTGATCTTTTGGAATTCTAAGAGAGTATTGAGGAGATTACTTCTTCAACTTTGGGCATTAATAATTCTATTTGGAAACTCAATTTGTGCTTCAAATTGAATGGGAAGGATGAAATTTTTTTGACCGTTTTAGGTTTCCTGCCCTTGGTAGGGTAGTAGGAATGATGTCTCGGTATTGTTGCAATAAAGGTCGGTCCTCCTTTGGTACCTTCTTATTTTGATTTTTTTCCTTAACCACTTAGGCATGGGTTGGCTCCGAGTCTTGTATGTCTCTCATGGACATGGATTTGGATATCACAATGTTGTTTCAAACTTATTTAGTTCTATCATACATCACCATTGCATTCCATAGCATAGGTGTTCTTGTAATTATCATAGGTGTTGCACCTATGGTATTGCTACAATTTCCCCAGCAATAATTGACAACATCCATTGGAATAACATCACAAAATACTTCGTCTTGAAGTTACTTGTTCTTGGAAAATTATAATTGAAAAGATTTAAGGCATAAGATGATCTTTTGTGGGAAGGCTCAATTTTCTTTACCATCTTAATAAAGATGACATTCTCACAACTTATGCCAATGCATACCTTCTCTTTAATAATGCACCACGTGCGGAATATGTTTGAAACAACATTGCGCTTACATGAAAATCAATCTCAAGTTTCTTGTGAAACTAATTGACAAAGCAAGCTAGTGAAAAACAAGGGAATAAAATATTACAGGAACAATTGACAATGATAACCAACTTCAAGATCCTTTCCTTCCTAATGAATTTCCGTTTTTGGCAGGGCGTTAGTGCTGAAACCTGCTAGCCTGAATGATGTAAAACTATGATGCTTGCAAATGATTTTAATAAGAACTTGTACAAATTCTTGATTAGAGAAATAACAAAGAAACTTTTAGCAAATAAAACAACGAATTAAAACGTAAGAGGGGTCACTTTCGTTTAGGCTAAGTTGGACATCCAAAAGATTTGCATCTTCAAAATATCTTAGAAAATAACATTATGCCCAAGTAGTAGTTTTCAACAAAAATCCCTAGTCTAACAGTAAGATAAGTAAAGAATGAATGCACTCAAATTCCTACGTTTACTAAGCTTAGCAGAATCAGGCGAATGCGCCCTTCGTGACTACAATCAAATCACAAGAGAGGTTAGGCTTAACAAATATGAGAAAAGGATGATTAGAAAACCTTCGTTAAGGATTGACGACAATCCTCCACTCGACGATCTCCAATTGCTCTTCGATGGCTTCAACCAAAGTGTCTAAGATGCGTTCTACGTAGTCCTCCACCGTGTGATCGATCCTCAGGTTGATTTTGAAGAAGGTTGAATGAAGAATGTGCACGAAACCATGTTCGTCATAGACAAGTCCATAATCAGTGCCGGGATCGGCCATTCATGGATGCTAGATGATGATTTCTTCCCAAAGATTACTAGTAATCTTGAACTTCGTTGAAGAGAAAGAAGCTTCTCTTCTCTTTGAAGTGAGGAGGAAGAATAGGTGGCCGGCCAAGGGAGGAGAACAGGGTTAAGGTTTTAAGTTCAGATTTTGGGGAAAGAGGTGGAGGGAATTTAAATTCAACACTTTCTAATTAGCCTCTTGATTGGGACTAATTAAAGGAAGAAAAAAAAGGAGAGGGGGGCGGCGGTTAAGAGAAGGGAAGACTTGGGATTTATTTCCAAAATCAAGGATGAGATTTTGGAAAGTATTCATGAGGCGGGGCTTTAGGAAATTTCGGCCAAGAGGGGCTTGGGGGTTTTGAATTGTTTCCAAGAGTGGGATTGGGTTTTAGGAAATAAATCCAAGTGGATTTAATTGGGGGGGGGGAATTAAATAGGACTCAAAATAGAAAAGAAGACAATGCCCTCAGGGCTTACATACGACATCCCTTAATAAAAGGGTACAATGGGAAATTAAATTAAAAAAAACAAATATAACAACATCATAAATAAGAAAATACATAAAATAAATCAAAAGTACAATGACTCAATTGTGGCCGTAGATCGGCGGTCACGCCTCTGATAAACCTTCCATAATCTGATATCCCCATCGCTGAACTTCCTCCAGCAGTTGCTGCCAATATAGCTCCCTTGAAAGGCAACTATTCATTGGTTCTCAGCCTTATGACTCAGATGCCTCTTGAATTCTTCCTGCCTCTTCCATTCCAGTGAATGGATATTGTCTAGGTGAATATCCAGGTCTATTCCACTCATCACCTGCTCCATGCCTTGAGTTTCAAGCTCTGTTCAAAGCTGCTGTCTTCAATTTAGATTGTAGGAACAGACACCAAGGTCTGCTGGAATTTTAAGTAATACGATGCAAGGAGAACTAGGTAGTCAATTGCTCAATAAAGGGAAAATCATATTAACAAGTAAACAGCCTAAAACCTGATTGGAAGGTTTCTTGGTTCAAGAAAATGATTGTTGCCTTCTTAATTTCACCATCCAAAGCCTCAAAGTTTTCAAGACCTGCATGGAAGTTGTAAATAGACAAGTTGCAACATTACTGTAGTAAACTTATGTCCAAACCCTGAAGGAAAAAGCTTCTCTTCTTGTGTCCTGGGTAAAGTCCACTGCCTGCTAGGAGTTGGTTCAGCCACTGCCAATAAATACTTCCCAGCAGCAGTTATCCGCTATCTCTAACCTTGGACAGACATTGAAGAAGGTTTTAGGAGCTCTGATGATTGGCTGTGGTGGAGTTTTGGACTCCCCACTTTTATCCTCTTTTGCCTCCCAGCTCTCCAAATTCAAGGAAATCCTTCTCAAAATAAGGATAGCCTGAAACAAAACTCAACAAAAATTGAGATAATATGAAGTGGGCAGGGCCTTAAATAGAGCCCAAATCCCTAAATAACAACTATTATTAGAAATACAAGTTAAAAAAATCTGTTATTAAAATTATAGAAATAACCGCCTAAACAAAATGTTAAAACATCCCCTATCACAAATAGTGGCACAAATATCCCTATTAATTAGATCCTTTATGAAATATATCACTGAATATCACTATCTACCTAATGACATGATTACAATTTTTCTCTTCATGTTTTGTTGGTTTTGTCTTTATCTTTGGGTTTAAATTTGTAAAGTTGTTAGGAAGCTGTAACCTTTGAAGAATGTGATGGATACAAAAATTCAGAAGAATTGCTAAGCCAGATGTTTAAAAATTTTAATGTTCTATGAATGCATTTGTATTAGAAGGAAAGTTTGGGGCTTTTTGGTTCAATATTACTAAGGTAACAGTGTAATTCACGGAACAATTTTCTTGTCCATATGTTTGCTTCAGTGTTCTTGCTTGAAGAAGCAATGCTCTCTAGAATAGTCAATGGTGATTCTAGTATTTTTGTTTTTCTTTATTTATTCTTCTTATCAAGATTGAGAAATTTTAGATAGATTACAATTTAAAGGTAAATCAACTGGTGCCTCAATTAGGACCTATACTGTTTTCAGATATCCTCAATCTTGAACTGACCAGTTCAGAGAGACCTACAATACTGCTCTGTAGACATCATTGTACCAAGCAGCCCTAAAAGTTTCGTCACAACAAATTGATCTTGGAATGGAGCTTACTCAAAGACTTATGGTAATGTTGCTACCTATTAGCAACTTAGTTGAGTGATACTGCCTTTGACTTCAAAAGTAGAGCGTAGATTGAAAAATCACTAAGGAAAAAAAAAAAAAACTCACAGACGTACACGCATGAGAAAAAAATAAGACAAGAACTTTTATTATATTTTGGAGAGTAACTCTTAGCATTGCTTGTTGCAGTGGCTTAACTAGTTTATATCTACTACAATTGTGGTTAATGGTTTCCATATCTGTAGAGATTCTCATTAAGAAAAGGTTTATAATTATTCCAAGTTTTATGACGAGGACATTACTTACTGGTTTGAACATTAAGATGCTTCATTACTTACGCTTGCCATTTTCTCTTTGCTTGAAAATTATGGGAAAATGTAAAAATTGAAATGCAAAAGTTGGCTTGTGGCTTAACTAAAAGGCTCTCAACGTAGTATAACCTTTTGCCACCATTTCAGGTCTCAAAGCCAACAAAGTTATCCTTTCTGGTTACCTCCATTTTTAGCTACATGAATTGTTCTGATTCTCATTGTCAAGTTACATATATTTTTTTTGGATTTTATCTGCTAAGGCGTCCCTTGAAATATGTGAATCAGCCAGCATACATGCATTGGATTTAATTTCATGAATTCCTATGCTTCTCCATATTTCCTGAATGTTTATCCTGCTTTTGAACTCTGAACTTTACCTCTAAGATGCACAAGCCCTTAATTTGACAGTAGTTCGTTTGTTCAAAGGTTTGTGTCAGTTTGCAGGTGTACAGCTCACCTGTTTTTGCTGTAACGTTGTACACCACGTTTACAGCCTGATATTCCATTTTGGTGGAACAGCGATTAAAGCTGTTTGGAGCTGGTACCAGATTGTTTCATTTATTTTTCTCTTTTCATTTTTTCAACTGAGAGCAAGAAGAACCAAAGCTATGAAATAACCCTTGTTTTCCTGTATACTTCGTGATATTTGTTTCTAGCGCTGGACTTATGATTCTTTTATGCACGCAGATTTTTTTTCTTATATTATTCCTTGTATGTAATTAATTTCCGCTGTTAGTATTTTCCATATATCTAATCATGGACTCATTTAATCGGATTGAATGATCTTCTTTCTTTTAGATGTTATTACACTCTCATCTGAAGGTAGTGTTTTGAGGGCGTGGAACCTTCCTGATGGGCAGCTGATTTGGGAATCCGTCCTACAATTCTCTGCTCCTTCCAGATCTTTGTTGCATGTACCAGTAAGAATGATCTTCTTTCAAATTTCCCTCGAAATGCTTCTGTTTTTTTTTTGTTCCTTTTGGGTTCAAACTTTGTGTAATACCATGGATAAGGTGCTGCTTAGTAGCTTTATTTATTGTAAATCCTGCAGACGAAATTTGGCTTGGAGAGAGAGAGTGTAGTTTTTGTATTTGGAGGTGGATGGCTTCATGCCATATCAAGCATTGATGGCGAGAAAATTTGGAAGAAAGAATTATATACAGAAGGGTAATTAATGAACCTGCTGCATTTCTTTAGTTGTCTCTCAAGGCTACACATTGCATCATGCATATAAATTTACTTTTTTTCTGACTTCCTTCCAGGTTGGACATACAACAAGTTTTTCAGCAAGATGACAGTGATAGTTTATATGCTGTTGGATTTCTTGATTCTTTGCAGTTTGTTGCATATCACATAAGTGTTAAAAATGGGGAGGTCTTAGAAGAAAGCAAGAAATCCTTTGCTAGTGGTTTTTATGGGAGTATGCTACTTGTTTCTCGGGATATTCTAGTTGCATTAGATGCCAGCAGGTCAAGCATAGTCTCAATAAAATTTTCCAGGGGTTCTGTTAGTTTCCATCAGACATATATTTCAGATATTGTTCCAGAAGTTGCTGGAATAGTTGAAATTGTGCCTTCAAAACTCTCTGGACTATTTACATTAAAAACTGATGCATCATTGGTGTTATTTAGATTCAATAGTATAGGCGAACTGGTGGTAGAAAATACATTCAGCCATCCAACTATTCTTAGTGATTCTATTTCTATCACAGAAGGACATCAAGTTTTTGCGGTTATGCAACATGCTGAAACAAAAGTCCACATTGCTGTGAGGTTTGTTAATGATTTGACAAGTGAAGCTCTCAAAGAAACCATTGAACTACATCCCCAGAGAGGAAATGTGCAGAAAGTTTTCATTAATAATTATGTTAAAACAGACAGGTCCTATGGATTCAGGGCCCTTTTAGTCATGGAAGATCACTCCTTGCTTTTGGTTCAACAAGGAAAAATTGTTTGGAGTAGGGAGGATGGACTTGCTTCAGTTGTAGATTCAACAACATCTGAACTGCCTGTTGAGAAAGATGGCGTGTCAGTTGCAAAGGTGGAGCACAGCCTCTTTGAATGGCTTAAGGTAGACTATTTCAATATGAATTCTTCCGTTAAGCTATATGGCACCTCCTTTTATACTCTAACATTTCATTTATTTCATCATGCTATTGACCATAGACAATTTTTAATTGATTTGGCTGCATAGAATGTTGTACCTGCCATCTGGTTTTTTATTTTTATTTTTGGTACTGCTGGTTAGTTTGGATGCTACAGTTCCACAAAAACTAGATATTCAATTGAAGTTTTTAAACTTTGGTAGTCTGGTAAAAGTCGTATTAGAAATGGCGTAGGTGTGATTATATATAAGAGTTTGAAGGATAATATTATAAAAATTGATAGAATTGGAGAAAAAATTATAATTTTGAAGATTATTGTTGATGCTAAGATTATTAATATTATAAGTGCTTATGCTCCTCAAGTAAGTTTGGATATATGTTTAAAATTAAAATTTTAGAATGACTTGAAAAGAATTAATTCAAAATATACTTCTTAAAGAAAGGATTTTTATTTGAGAGGATTTAAATAGACATGTTGGTAGAGAGATAGAGGATTTAAAAGTATTCATGGTGGATATAGATTTGGAGCGACTAATGAAGGTGGTAAGACTATATTAGATTTTGTTCTAGCTTATGATTTTATAATTACTAATATTTTATTTAAGAAAAGATATGAGCTTCTCATCACTTATAAGAATGAATATAGTAAAATACAGATTGATTATTTGCCTATAAGAAAAATAAATCATTTAGATTGCAAAGATTATAAAGTTATTCCGAGTGAAATTTTATGTACCCAACATCGTTTATTAGTAAGACTTTAAGATGAATGGACATAATATGAAAAATATAATAAAATATTGTTCTAAGATTAATTGAGGGCATTTAAAGAACACCAACAAAAATATTTTTGAGAGTAAGATTTGAGATCTTAAGATTTTGTCTGTGCATGAGAAAACAAATGTTATGTGGAAAAAAAAGCTAGTAACATCAGTTAGATTTGTTTTCATTCCTAATCTATTCTAATAGAGGTGTGAAAATGTTGTTGGACATGATGATATTTCAATAGATGTGTGAAAATACTTAGGAGATGAAGGAATTTCTTAGCTTACGAAACTTTTCAATATTATTTTGAAGGCTAAGAAGATGTCAAATGAGTGGAGTGTGTTGATTCCTATTTTTAAGAATTAAGGTGATGCACAAGAGTATGTATTATGGAGGAATTAAGTTAATGTGTCATACTTTAAAACTATGGGAGAGAGTTGTTGAGCATAGGTTACGACGTGATACTAATATTTCTTAAAATCAATTTGGATTCATGAGGGGTAGGTCTACTATGGAAGATATATATTTATTGAGAGGTTTGATAGAGAAGTATAGAGAGAATTAGGAGGATCTCCATATGATATTTATTAATTTAGAGAGAGCTTATGATATTCCAAGAAAAGAATTAGGAGGATCTACTTGCAATGCTTTATGATGCAAAATGTTGGTCATTAAAAGAGAAGCATAAAATTAAATTAAGCGAGGATGCTCAGGTGGATGAGTGACTTCACTCTTAGAGATATAATGCAAAACGAGTATATATGTGAAAACGTTGAAGCAGCTCTAGTGGCAGATAAGATTAAAGAGTCGCCTTAGATGATTTGGTCTCATAAAACGTCGGCCTTCCTATTACTTGGTTAGGAGAGTAAATGTATTAGGTTTGACTTATGTTAAGAAAGGTAGAGGCAGACCTAAAAGGGCTTGGTTAGAAAATATTAGAAATGACATTTTTTTCATTAGATTTAAATGAAAATTTGATTATTAACGTGGCACAATGGAGAAAAAAATTTATGTAGCCGATCCCACGTAGTGAGATAATGGCTTGTTGTTGTTGCACAAATGTCTTTTACAAGTGTAATATGTAATAATTTTCTACTTTAAGTGCTATTGCTTTATTTCAAGATGACCGTTAGACATTATGATAATAGTTTTTTACTTGACGTTCTCTCCACCGCCCTTACATATGGGTTCCTTAAGCGTTTTGCTAGCTTTTGTTGGGTCATTTAGGTCTTTTAGCTGACATCTCTTAGATCCTTGAGGTTAGCAATATAAAAGGTGCAACCAATGCCTGAAGCTCCTGCCAATGAAAATCTAGAGAGGGGTTGATACACACAACTTTACCACTGCATTTGTATTGAGATTGTTTTTGTAACTTGACCTAGTGACCTCCATTTGATAGTGGAGGCAACTTGAGTACTGTTGGATTTCAAGGGGTTGATGTACATAGCTTTATCCTTAGTCAGAACTGTGACCTTCAAATCATAATAGAGCAAATCTATTTACTACTTAAGGCCCTTCCCACATCAAGGTTAATAATATATAGAAATTGTTGAAATAGCCAATTCTAAGATCTAAATTAAAACAATCTCAAAATAATCTTTTACTGTAGAATAATCACTACACTTGAAGCTCTCAAGTCTATCAACATTGATTCAAAATTGGTTAGCTCCAACATGTTGAAGTAATCTAGATTTGAAAAAGGAGCCCGAAAAGTTTATAAAAAACCAGATTTTGTTCTTCAAACCTTGCTCCCAGCCCTTTTCTTCTTCTCTTCTCGCCTCGTGGCTTGTAATTTTAGGTTGATAGGTTGCATGATGAAAATTAAAACAATTTCAAAATAATCTTTTACTTTAGAACAATCACTACATCTGAAGCTCTCAAATGTATCAAGTATCAACATCAATTCAAAGTTGGTTCGCCTGAAAAGTTTATAAAAAAAATAGATTTTGTTCCTCAAGCCTTGCTCCCAGCCCTTTTCTTCTTCTCTTCTCCCATGGATCCTGATCACGGCCTGTACTTTTTGGCTGATAGGTTACAGGATGAAAATAAGCTAAACGGATGAGGTGGTGAGTGCTTTGAATGTTTACATATATATATATATATATATATATATGTGTGTGTGTGTGTGTGTGTAAACTACAAATCTCAATGTTTATATGTGTGACAAAAATAAAAGAAAACATCAATATATTTATTTGATTCATCATTATAAAAATATAAACTATAAATCTCAATATTAAATGTTATTGTAAAATGAAAAATTGAGATTAGATTAAAAGTAAACACTCATTTAAAACTTAAATACAATATAAAGATTATCCATGGCATATTCTTCATAATAACCATTGTATGTAATAATTATAACTTCCTCGAATTCTGACTTATTGTTATCTTCTAAACATTCTTCAATTATAGCATTTTTTTAATCTCATATTAATTAACATTGGATTCAATTTAATATAAAACAAAACAACATATTAATAACACAACAAAATAATCCATTATATTTAAATCGCCATTTGTTATTTTTTTATAGTTTAAACTCAATTTCGCTATTTTCTTTAAATTACTTGTGAAGTAGAAGTTATTATCAATTAAGTAATCATTTTAATATTAGCATTGATATTTTCATTATTCTCATCTTCAAATGCATTACTCCATTTCAAATTTAAAAATTTTACTATTTTTTGCTATTATCCATTCATCATTAGAAAATATATCATTAACAATCAAAGAATTCATTTCATCATCACCAGTTATTTGCCTTTATAATTTGAAGTGTGTATCTTTCAAATTTTATTAAACATAACATAATTTTTCAACCTTGCTTATTCGTCCTATAGCTAATTGGTTCATTCTTTTTGTATAATAGAATAAAGGATATATATTAATAATAATAATATATAATAAAAATTATATAACTTAACTATAATGAGGCACTGCCTCGAAACGCCTCGAGGTGTGCACCTCATTTAAAAAAGACGTAAGTCTCACTGGCACTATTGAAGCGTAAGCCTCGAGGCCCTCATTGTGTGCCTTGAACAATTTTTTACACCATGATATATGTATGTATGTGTTTATATATACACACACACACACATAAGGTTGTGAAAACTGAACCGGACAAATAACATGAAGGAGAGGTTCACAGTTCAATGGTTCGACCCTAGTCGAATCGGGGTCAAACTGGATGACATAATAAATACAAATTTTATTACAATATAGGATAGTTTACATAATGATGATGCAATCATATAAAAAATCTGCATGTTCAAGTATTATATTTTGTAGGTCGTGAGAATACTATATGTACCAAACAAATGATGATTTTATATCAGTTTTTCATATTGAATATTTTTTGATTAAATGAATGTATAATAAAAGTATTATTAACCTGTCATTGTTTTTTATTTTTCTTTGAAAATATAAACAACCAATTATTTACCATCGCAATGGTTTTCATCAATGTTATCTTCACTAGTCTATGAAAAACAATGTTTACAGGTTATCCAAAATTACCTGTTAGCTGCTTTGCAAAGTTTCATCAACATCACAACATCAACGAACATAAAAAAAAAAAAACTGAACCATACTGATTCACAAATCCATTTCCAAATGCCTAATCAGAAAACAATCCAAAAACATTCCAATGACATTAAAAGAGGCTTCTAAAATGACATACCTCGATAAGCAATCGATTTGCCACAGATGGTGGAAAGCTAATCGGAACGAGTGAACGAATGAGAGCTCTTGGAGGAGGAATGAAGGGCAATGTAGCTGCGGCCTACAGGAGAACGAGAGAATGAACGAGATGAGAGCTCTTCTCGCGGCTGGAAGGAAGAAACAAAGGAAATAGAATGAGAAAACTAATGAAATAACAAATATGAGCTAGGGTAGGGTTATACGGTTTGAGAGGTTTCCTTTCCACCATTAGATGTGCGATCAACTGTGCCAATTCATCAACCTTCGAACTGAGCTGGTTTTTTCAAATTCGGCCGGTTCGCCGGTTGCATGGTCGAATCGACAGTTCATCCATTTTTTTACCAGTTCTAGGCTGAGGCGGTGTTAAGGATATTCTGGACCGGTTAGCCTACCGATTCTCGGTTCAATCGGTTGAGCTGACTGGTTCGGTCTAGTTTTCTAAACATTCTATGTGTGTGTATATATATCTCTCCTAAGATCCCTAAAAGAACTTTATTAA